CTCTCTCTCTCTCTCTCTCTCTCTCTATATATATATATATATATATATATATATATATATATATAATAAAAGGAATGGAAGATCCACCCCTCTTTTTCAGTATCTATCTCCTTCCCCCTCCCTCTACCCAGTAAAGCCTCCCCTTCTCTTTTCTCTCTCTTCTCCCAAATGCTCTCACTCTCCCTCTTCCAAAATTATATTTTCCCTTCTTATAATATTTCCTGGTTTTTTTTTTGGGGGGTGCTTTTTTCAAGGCATTTTCATGCTTGTAGATTACCCGGGCAAGTCGGACTTGCCCACGTTACTCTGCTTAGGTAAGGTTGTAGTCCCAACTCTGAGCCAAGTATTTCAATCTTGCTCCAGATCCCAATTTTTGTCATTCCATTAAGAGCTTGCATTAAATAATTGGATAAAAAGAAATAGATGCCCGATCTTCGAAATCATGACACTGTAATGAACCAAAAGTACCTATTATAGAGCAATAGATGCAATCAATAAGTTGAAGCTTGATAAATAAATGAAAAAGTTAAACCCTGTCTTATGAAAAAGAAATTTACACCCATAAATCAGGGAAATCCAAAAACACATTTTGGAAAAAAACAGGGATTTCGAGTATGGAGCAACACGAATAGTTATGTGAATATACACAGAGCACCAGAACACAACCCAACAAATAATGCTTCTTAAATCCATTGGGACATAACAGCACAATCAAATAATAGCACATGGACACATTTATTAATAAATAAACCTTCAGAGAACATTCATCCAGCCATTACCAGTGTTCCATATATAGAACTCTTGTGTGGCAGCTGCTCAGCACATTGTAATAAAAACTGAGGATATGAAAGAGAGAAAAGTTAATACTTCAATAATACAGATGGATTCCTATGAAAAAAGGCTATCCCAATTCTTGCAGAATAACACTTGAACTGTAAAACTGGCAGAATCCTAAAGAAACAGTATGATGAGACGCATACATATGCTACCAAGTACTCACAATACAGATTACAAAATAAACTTCTTGGAGTACATTCATTCACTTCGAGTGATAAGAGAAGAAAACAGTGAAACAAAAACAGCCAGCATCAATTTTTCCCACATAACAGTATTTAAACTTCACGACTACATAATACTTCACACTGAGTGCTGCATGTGCGTTTTTGCATAAATTCACGATTTTTGCTACCTCTAGAGATAACATTCATCTTTCAAATTTTCAAGTTAAATCTCATTGGACACTCTTGGTCAAACGTCAGAGACAAGCAATAGACAACTCACAAAGTATAACTAACTGCATATTCATAAGTTATGACCCATATCTTGTGGAAAGCTGGTTTTCTTGCTGGGCTCACATCTATGGAAATAAAGAAGAATATTCATGAGAAAGAGGATGAAGGTTCAAATTGTATATCTCATGTAAATCGTCCTACTGCCTAGAACATGTGTATAGCATGCGAAGCAAGAGAATAAATATGCATTAAGTTGGACCGATAACCTCTTCTGCTATACTCCACTTTCTCTTTTTTGAGAATGTTAACTGTCTCACTGTAGTACAGGTATATATTTTTCAATTTTACAAAATTGGGTCAATGTCCACCAGACTTTACATGTATACCCTTTGCCCCTTAAAACCATGTCACCCAAAACTCTGGTTTGGAAACCGTTCCTGGACACGTACATCTTCTCTGAGTTAGATATCCCTAAATCCTAAACCATGTTACCAAAAACTAAGGTCTAAAACCTAATCTATGACACTCTACTCCATTGTAAGTTTTATAAAGGCAACATACACAGCCAAGAAAAATAGTCGAGTTTATAAGAGAGAGAGAGAGAGAGAGAGGAAATCGGGTAAACCAAATTTACCAATGAGATATCATCTGGAGAGTGGTCCAGTTCACGCCACAAAATGCCATAACATTTTTCCTGCAATACACACGGAGATATGTTAATACTGATTACAAAATCTGAAAAACCAGTGAGCAATGACATCAGAGACACTTCAAGATAAATTGGCTTAAACTGTGGTATGGAGAAGAAGAAAAAACACATCGTCTACAATAAATAGATCAATGAAGTATGTCATTAGCAGCACGTGAATCGTAACAAGGAAGAGAGAGGTGTTATCCCACATGATTATAGACTTGGTCAAGAAAGAACCAGTTCTCGAACCTAGAAAAATATCAATGTAAACTTTTATTATTCCAAATGTAGAGATGTTCAAGACTAATCAATGGAACTAACTGCTTTCAAGTTTGATGCAGCCATGCCCCAACCAATAGTTAGTGGCTGGGCCAAGAATGGTCGTAGGACCCAAGGGGAAAAGAAAGGGGGGATGATGTCATAAGGGGAATTAATTTGGTTTATTTTAATTGTTATTTCTTTATTTTTTTAGGGGCAAGCTTAGTCATTTATTTTAAGTTAATAATGGTGGCTATGATTAAATAGGATGGATGGCTGGGATTTCGTAGGAGCTTTTTAGGGTTATGAGTTACTTAAATATTTGCGATTGAAGGGTTTGGGTAGAATGTTATTTTTGAAGATAACTTTTGGTGAATAAATTTTGGCGGTGGATTCCTCCTCGTTTTGTGATTTTTCCTTCTTTCTCTACTCTTATTCTCTTTAAGGCTGGTTCTCTAGAGACCTCACTGCGAATTAAGGTGCTGATTTTGTGAAAAATCAACCCTAATTTGCATCAATTGGTATCAGAGTGGGTTCTGATGGCTTCAAAAGAGGCACACCTTGATGGATTAAGGTTGTTGACGAAAATAATTCAAACCCTAGCAGAGAGAGTAGACAAATTCATGCCCGTAGCTAAGAATGTAGGTGAGCTTATGCAAAAGTTCGCACAGCTTCAGGATGGAAGGAATCCGGAGACCGGTGTTGGAACTCAAGGCAACTGAGATAAAAGAGGTATGCATCTCGTTCCTAACCAACTTCGGGCGGCCCCGGTTAATGAGGAATTCAATGAACGAATTCTTCGGTTGTTGGAAAGAGAAAGAGAACCTGAACTAAAAATTGATATTTTAGAGCTCCATGGTCGATTTCATGCGGATGATTTTCTTGCTTGGCTAAGTAAAGTAGAGAAGTTGGACTGCCAAGATATTGCAGATCACAAAAAGTAAAATTAGTAGCCACAAAATTTCTTGGCCATGTTTTGGTTTGGTGGGATGATTTGCAGCAAGATCGTCTTCCACAAGGCAAGGAAACAATTAATTCGTGGGAAAAGATGAAGATGCACCGAAATTTTTTACTAGTAAACTATGTCCGAACCTTGTACCAAAGGTGTCAAAAGCTCAAGCAAGGAGAAAAGTCAGTGAGTGACTATACTGAGGAGTTCTATATTTTGACATCTAGGGCAAATTTACAAGAGTATGAAGATCAAGAAATAAGTCGTTACTTGAATGGGCTAAATCAAGGCATTCAGAATGAATTGGCCATCAAAGATGTCCATAAGATGCCTGATGCCTATACTTTGGCCCTCAAAGCAGAGGAAATAGTCAATCTGGGCCTCAGGTGGAATAGTTCAGTGACAAGATGCTCTACTTCAACTGGGGTAGCAAGCTTTAACCTTTAGAAAACCACCTATGGGGAGTGAGAACCAAACCACTCAGCATTTCCCAACTAGGCTAAATCCTAATATGGGGGGAGGTGGTGTTGAAAGAGGGGTGGGAACACCTAAAACACCTCCTGATGATACTCAAATTGTGTGTTTCAAGTGCCAACAGCCTGGGCATAGAACATACAATTGCCCCTCACGTCAACCCCCATCAAAGTTAACTTAGCAAAAGAAAATTATGAAGTAGAAGTCAATGAAGGACACACCTATGAAAGCCAGGGTGATATTGGAGCGAATCAAGGGACTGAGCCTTTCACAGGTGAGATCGAGGAGTTGTATGGAAATGAAGGGGGCAAAGCCGTAGTTATCCAACGAACAATGCTATCAACCTCAAGACCTTGTGAGGAAGAGAAGAGGTTGCGACACAATATTTTTCGAACAACTTGCACATCAGGAAGTATGTTATGCACAATATTAATTAATGGTTGGAGCAGTGAAAACATTGTGTCTAAAGAGATGGTAGATAAACTTCGCTTGAAAAAGCATAAGCACCCACGCCCATATCACAACCAATGGTTCAAGAAAGGAGGTGAGGTACTAGTTCTCACTCGATGTTTAATTTCTTTCTCTATTGGTGCTAACTATAAAGATGAAGTGTGGTGCGATGTAGCACCCATTGATGCATGTCACATATTACTTAGTAGACCATGGCTTATGATCATTATATGGTGCATAAAACTAGACCAAACACTTATTCTTTTGTCAATGATGGCATTAATATCACAATCCACCCTATGAAGCAACTTCCTACACCCAAATCCACTAAAGATGAGGGTCCAAAGTTGCTTATTGTGAAAAAATTAAAAAGGGGCAGCAAGGATATGGATGTGATTTCTGTGTTGCTTGCAAACGAAAATTCTACACCTACTACAATTCCTAGGTCTCTTGAACCTCTACTCGAGAAGTATAAAGATTTGATGCTTGAAGAATTGCCTAATGGTCTTCTTCCGATGAGAAATATTCAGCATCACATTGACTTGGTGCCTAGTTCTAGCCTACCAAATTTGGCCCATTATTGAATGAGCCCTATGGAACATGAAGAGTTGCACAGACAAGTTGTTGATTTACTTAAGAAGGGATTGATTTGAGAAAGCATGTCACCATGTGTCATCCCTGCATTACTAACTCCAAAAAAGGATGGGTCATGGAGGATGTGCATGGAGAGTCAAACAATCAAGAAAACTACAATCAAGTACCGATTTCCCATACCCAGGCTCGATGATATGTTAGATATGCTTCATGGAGCCAATGTTTTTTCAAATATTGATTTAAGGAGCGGGTACCATCAAATTCGGATTCGTCCTGGGGATGAATGGAATACCGCATTCAAAACTCGAGATGGACTCTATGAGTGGCTTGTGATGCCATTTGGGCTTTCTAATGCACCAAGCACCTTCATGCGCCTAATGATTGAGGTACTTCATTCTTTTTTGGTAAATTTGTTATGGTTTATTTTGATGATATCTTAGTTTTTAGTGCTAACCCACAAGATCATCTTAACCACTTGGAACAAGTTGTTGATGTGCTAAGGAAGGAATCACTTATTGTGAATTTCAAAAATGCTCATTTATGATGGACAATGTCATCTTTCTGGGGTATGTTGTATCATCTGAGGGAATTAAATTGGATCAAGACAAGGTGAAGGTCATAGTTGAGTGGTGGTGCGTTCTTTTCATGGCCTAGCGACCTTTTATCGCCGCTTTATCAAAAATTTCAGCACTCTAATAGCACCAGTGACCGATTGTATGAGGGCTGAAAAGTTTTCATAAAGTCCCGCTGCTGAAAAGAGCTTCACTCTAATTAAACAAAAGATGATGCAAATACCAGTATTTGCCGTACCAGATTTTCTAAGGTGTTTGTGGTTGACACCGATACATCAAATATTGGCATAAGGGCAGTTCTAAGTCAAGAGGGGCGACCAGTGACTTTCTTTGGTGAGAAGTTGGATGAAACACGTAAAAGTATTTGGTCTATGAGCTCGAGTTTTATGCAGTGGTGCAAGCCTCGCGCTATTGGAGGCACTACCTGATCCATAGGGAGTTTGTTCTATACTCAGATCATGAACCACTACGATATCTGAATTCTCAAAAGAAGTTGAATGTGTGACTTGCTAAGTGGATCGCCTTCCTTCAAGAATACACCTTCCTATTAAAGCACAAAGTTGAAACCCAAAATAAGGCAGTTGATGCTTTAAGTAGAAGGGTAGTGTTGCTTGGAACTTTGGCTATGGAAGTGTTGGGCTTTGAAGGGATAAAAGACGAATATAAAATTGACCCAATTTTCAGTAAGGTCCTTGAAATGTGTGTTGATGGGCGAGATCCTATGGGTGAATGTCTCATGCATGATGGTTGTTTATTTAAAGGTGTGCGATTATGTATACCTGATTGCTTCCTAAGGGAGAAGATAGTCATGGAGCTTCATGGTGGAGGCTTAGGTGGGCACTTTGGGAAGGACAAAAACTATGGCTATGGTTGGAGAAAAGTCTTTTTGGCCACATATGCAAAGTGATGTTGATCGATTTGTGACCTGATGTTGAACTTGTCAAGTATCTAAAGGTCACGTACAAAATACAGGTCTTTATACTCCTCTTCCTATTCCAGATGCCCCATGGGTTGATATCTCTATGGACTTTGTACTTGGACTTCCATGTACCACACGAGGTATCGACTCTATCTTTGTTGTTGTTGATCGATTTTCAAAATGACACATTTTATTCCTTGTAGGAGAACTATGGATGCTACACATATTGTGAGGCTACATAGTGTTCTTAAGTCTATTACATCTGATCAATATACAAAATTCTTACTTCATTTTTTACGCACTTTGTGGAAGCGCCTGGGAACCAAACTTCGATTTTCTAGAGCTTATCATCCTCAAATAGATGGGCAAACCGAAGTAGTGAATAGCAGCTTTGGTAACCTCTTGAGGATTATTGTTGGTGATAGTATATCTCAGTGGGACCTCGCTTTGCCCCGAGCTGAGTTTTCTTACAACAATTCAATGAATCGGTCTACAGGAAAATCACCATTTGAATTGTTAATGAGCGGAGTCCTAATCATGTGTTGGACCTAGTGACATTACCTATGCTAGGTAAGATAAGTGATGAAGCCAATGCTTTTGCTGAGCATATCCGAGATTTGCAGGCTCAAATCAAGAAGAAGATTGAGGAAAGCAATGCAAAGTATCGAAAAGCCTCAAATGAGCATAAAAGATATAATATTTTCAAGGAGGGTGACTTAGTAATGGTGTATTTGCGAAAGAAGAAGTTTCCATTGAGAACATATAATAAACTCAAGTCCAAGAAGGTGGGCCCTTGCCGCATTTTGGAGAACTACGGAAACAATGCGTATGAGGAGGAATTACCAAAGGCATTCGATATCTCCCTAATATTTAATGTTGCTAACTTATTTGAGTTTCATGGAGACCCTCTAGAAGTCGAAGAAGAATTAGTTGATATGGTGAAGCAATTATTGAGAAAGAAAGAGGGGGAAATTCAACAAGTTTTGAATACTTAAAGCTTTCAAACTCGAAAGGGTTACTATCACCAGTATCTAGTCAAATGGAAGGGCAGGCCATACTATGATAGCACGTGGATTTCTAAGCAAGGGTTCAAACAGGTGGATCCAGACTTATACGGCGTCTATATTGAAGCCAACTCGCCGGAGTCAAGTTCGGGGGGGAATGATGCAGCCATGTCCCAGCCAATAATTCGTGGCTCGGCCAAGAAGGGTCGTAGGACCCAAGGGGAAAGAAAGGGGCAATGATGTAATAAGTGAAATTATTTGGGTTTATTTTAATTGTTATTTCTTTATTTCTTTAGGGGTAATTTTAATCATTTATTTTAAATTAATAATGGGTGTCTATGATTAAATAGGATGTATTTTGTAGGAGCTTTTTAGGGTTATGAGTTATTTAAGTATTCGAGGGTTTGGGGAGTTAGATTGTTATTTTTTAAGATAACTTTTCATGAATAAACTTTGGAGGTGGATTCTTCAAAGTTTTGTGATTTTTCCTTCTTTTTCTACTCTTAATTCTCTTTAAGGGTTGTTCTTTAGAGGAGTTTGTGATTTTTCTTTCTTTCTCTACTCTTATTCTCTTTAAGGCTTGTTCTTTAGAGGACTCTGCAAATTAACGTAGTGAAAAATCTACCCTAATTTGCATCAAAGTTTCAACAGAGTTCATAAAAAAAAATATGGAGGTATACTCACAATGTGATCTTCAATATCAGAGTTTCCACCGTATTCAGGACATTTATCTCCAATTCTGAGGAGAAAACTTCGCCAGCTGCTCATCTCTGTAACTAAAACAAATTGCGGGTTAAGCGATTCTGATAACCACCAGCATGGGGGAAAAGCAAAAAGGTGTTTTTTTTCTGTTTTGAAAATTTAGAGTCGAGCGCATTGGTTATCAAGTTCCAAAATTAGGTCAGTTTTTTTACATGATTGTTGCATATGAAAGAGAAAAAGAGGCCAAAAAATAAACGAATTGAGGAACAGAAAGAAAGAAAAGCGTCACCTTGCTTCGCTGTTTGAAGAGAGAGAGGGAGAAGCAGCCGAAGTGCAGAAGCAGCACGCACGGAAGAGAGTAGCCGTAAGAGTGGGGCGATAATAAGGGACAACCGGATATCTCTTGTATAATCCGCGATGAGTTTTTTTATATTGCAAAAGTATAATAAGATAAAATCATTTAGGGTCAAGGGATCCAAAAATTTCGTAAATACGAGCCTATTTACGGTATAATGATCTTTTTAAGCCTGATTTAAAAAACGAATCCCCAAATATCAGTTTGGATCGGTGAATCAACGGATCGGATCTTTATTTTGTTGTGTGGAAAAATAGTAAACTGGTAAAACAAATAGTAAATCGGCCAAAAACTAGAATCATTTTTTTACTGGAGTCCGTTGTTTATATATATATATATGGGGAATTGGAATGGGTGACCAATGATTAATTTTTGGGTCAGATAGGATAATTCCGTGCCAACTTGGTTGTGGTTTAAAAAATAGATTGATGCCCAGGGCATCCAAAAAATCCATCGAATAGGAAATTTATCGAGTCGGTAGGATGTGGTTTTCAAAAAAATTCAAAAAAATTATTATAATATTATGTTTTAAAAATCCAATAAAAAATGGAAGTACTACATCAATAACTTTTATTTTTTTTTCATCAATATACGAATATTGAGATGTTCTTTCCTATATAAAAATTTTCATCAAATATTTATTAAAACCTACCGAAAATACATTGAAATTAAAATGATGTGATATGTATATGATCGGATATATATGTATGTCTATTTTCCATGATGGAGATATTGTAACATGGTTTACCATAGTAACAGGAGTTATTTGCAACATAGATAAAAACATATCATATCCAATAAAAGCTATTGGAGACGAATTTCATACGAGTGGTGGACTATGTGGTATTCGTTTACCAGTATGGACGGAATTCAGTAGTAAGGGTTCGACTTTTTCAATTAAAACAAAGCATGCCCAAAATCTCAAAATACATTAAAAATTAGCCCAAAATCTCAAAATACATTAAAAATTATATTGGATTTATTTATATTATATCTACCTCAAAATACATTTAAAAATTAGATTTGAAATCTTTATATATTTATATAGTAAAGATTTGTCTAAGGCGTCAACCTCATGCTATAAAATATGTGGATATGTATACATTGAAATCTAAAAAATTATCGATTTCTATTAAATCTAAACAAAAAATCTACACAGGTTTGAATATATATATATATATAAGAGTAATGATCATATAGGACCTTCTCCTATCCATGTGTGTAGGACTCCAAATGGTCACCATTAAAATTAGCACGGATCTTTAAAAACATTATCACATGGATGTAGGATTTTATTTTTCTAGAGATCCGTATCAACTTTGATAGTGATCTTTTGGAAGTCCTACATATATGGGTGGGAAAGGGTCCTATAGGATCATTTATATATATAAAATAAAAATAAATGGAAATATCATATTAATTATTAATATTAAGTACATAAATTGAAATTTTAATTGAGTGTCATTTACAACTCCTAATTATTTATAGGAATTATACAATGAGACAATTTAAATCCGATAGTTCGGTGTTTCATAAAGTTCGAAAAAAAAAATTGAACTTTGAGTTTGGGTAGTGGAATTATTGCAGCCACCCAATATAACATTCAATGATCAAGATTAATTGTGATCATTTTATACAAAAGATAAATAGTCTTATTGTATAATTTTTTTTATATAAAATAACATTCCTACGCCAATGAAACACAAAAACATCCGTGGTCAAAAGTTTAAAATCAGTGTTTCCTACCCATTTTTATAAACCGAAAAGTTTTAGGCATCCCCAAAAGAAAAGCTCCTCTATTTATAGCCCAATAGCCCAATAATTTAAACACATTTGATCTCGGCCAGTGGATTCCATAACAATTATCGGATCTTTACTATCTTTTATTTTCTTTGTAAAAATTTATTGGATATTCATAGTCCAAAAATATATTGGGCGACTAGCACATTTGAATGAAGGTGGAACCATGGATTCCAAAAGACTTTTCAGATTTTTACCATCCAATTTTTTTTAAAAGTTTCGGATATTGAAAATCTAAAAATATTTTCGGCCCGGAGCACAACATTTGATCCGAGATCCAAAAAATTTCAACTTTCACCACTTAATTTATGGATATTAAAAATTTGGGCAAATAGGTCATTTCAAAAAATATGTGAAAAACGTGTACGAAGGTAATATTAGATAAAATTTAGGTAGTTTAACATAAATCATAGTGGAGATATGCATAAATTTTTTTTCTATAAGTCTCAATATAGAAAAGAAAAGTGTACACGTTTGGATAGAAAGTTTGACTATGTGATCAAGCACGGTGTATACAAATTAAAAAATTTCTTATTTTTTTTATTCTTACACCCGCAATACCACTTACAATATCCAATTACAAATCAATAACTCTTGAAACAAATAAATAAATTAAAATAAACATGGTTCTCACTTGCTACCCCATTTAATACAAATCATTAAATAAAAACCTTAAAGCATTGCTTTATGGGAAGATAATATTTTAAAGAAATAAAATTGTCGGATATTATTTGGAATTACTACACCCCGAGTCTCGTCCTTACGATGATACTTGGGATCTATAATTGGTCTCTTGATTATCCTATATATGAAAAATCCTCTCGGATATCAATTTAGAACTAACTATCTAATGCTTAAATGAATTCTCGTGCCAAAACTCTCTCAATGGGTTATGGATCTCAATTTAAAATCAACTTGCCTTGTATAGCTCAAGCCCCTTCAAATTGATATTTGGTTATCGATTTCAATTTAGAACCAACTCTGCCTTATACTGCTCAAGCCCCTTTGAATTTATATTTGGAGAGATGAGAGATATATCTACTAGCCAACCTTAGCTTGGGGGTGCCACTAGATTGATCTTTGGAGATATGAGAGATAGATCTACTAGCTAACCTTAGCTTGGGTGTGCCACTAGATTGATACTTAGAGAGATGAGAGATAGATCAAAGAGAGAGATCTACTAACCCCTTTGACTTGAGAGAGATTATTGGGAGGGTCCTTTTTGGCTTGAGAGAGATTTTGGTTGTAGCGTGCCCCGTAGGAAAACTTGGGAGAGATCTTGAAGCATTGGAAGAGATTTTGGTTGGAGCGTGACCAGTAGAAAAACTTGGAAAAAATATTTGAAGCCCCATTGGGAGAGATCTTGAAGCATTGGAAGAGATTTTGGTTGGAGCGTGCCAGTAGAAAAACTTGGGAGAGATATTTGAAGCCCCATTGGGAGAGATCTTGAAGGTTAAATAAACTTCAGAGAGATATTTGAAGCCCCATTGAGAGAGATATTGAAGCCCCATTGAGAGAGATATTGAAGCCCTAGGTGAGGCGTGTTACCTATAGATACATATTTGAGAGACAGAAAAACCATTATAGAGAAACAAGAATAGAGATTTTATGAAGTACGAGAGCCGTCTTTTTATACATTTTATATGCATTGGGTTTTCCTCAATTCGTAGGGTGAGAGATTTAAGTCATCAATTTATTTGATCGATCATCAAGATTAAAAGAGATGAGCTAGATCATTCATTTCACATATCTATTCCCATCAAATTTTAAAATAAATAAAGTAATTCATTTCTATTTAAGTATATCAAATCCTTATTTATTGGATCAAACAAGGGGATAACTATCATCCAATTTTGATAAAACATCAATCCCAATGGTGGGGTGTGAGACCCTTTTGGGGTCACACTTGGCCCCACCCAATCCATACATTTTTAAATTTGGGCCCCACGAGGGTCCTATATGTTTTTTTTTTAATTTTTTAATTTTGTATTTAGAAATTTTAAATCTTTATATTTTATTTAAACTATTGGAAAATTAATTTATCATAATTTATACATCCAAATGACAAAAATAAAATATCAAAAAACTCACAAAAATTCAAATACATAATATGAAAACCATATAACATAAAACCAATTAAAATTAATTAATTTTGATGGGAATTAGATCCATTAGATCTATGAACTTATCAATATACAAGAGCACTCTACTTTAAACTGCAGACCACGATCCACTTAGCTTTCTCAAATTGACCCATCAATTCCTATGACACACAGTCATGGATGGAGCGCTAAAGTCAACTAATAGACTAAGAGATACAATCCTAGTTTATAGATTTCAGGTTTTTTCTAGAGACAAAAAAAAAATCGTACCACTAAAGTCAGCCAATAGAATAAGGGATGCAATTATACTTTATGGATTTCAGGTTCTCCCCTGAAGACAAAAAAAAAATCATGGTCATCTATATTATAATGCAACCATGACTATATGGTGCACATAGGTAATCTCTCACACATGTACGCGCTTTATCCTCATTAGCGAATCTCAATACGGCTATCTATGTATGTGATATGTGATGATATAACGATGAAGGTTTTAGCCATGTCTCTAAAGGCTATTCATCACACGTATTAACCGCACAGTTCATCGGCTCTCATTTGGATAGATTCCGACATCGTCACGAGCTAACTCTTATTGATAGATCATCATGCCCAGGTATATTGGGTTTTTCCAAATTCGACTCGCGTAGCACGTCGGGCTTAATCCGAATATCAACAAATCACATTTGCCGAATATAGTCCACAAAAGGATCAGACTCCCACTGAGTTTATGTTTCACTATAAAAAATGCTCTCTCATAAGGTCGTCAAATGCCACATAAACCAACAAGAACCGGATATAATAAAAAAAATTATTATATATTTTGAAATTCAAATTCGGGCAGATCGGATATATGGAGCATCGACCACTAAACTAGGGACTGTCCAGTTCAGGTGGGACACCGGGCTATTGGACACCTTTTTTCTATGTGTATTATTTCAAATAATGCTCTTACTATGGTGATTATTTTTATTTTATTAACATGATTCTTTATGTTCTTAATAATTTATTGGATACAAGAAACTAAAATTTGTTATAGCACCAAATAATGCTTTTTGGTCTTTTATTAACATGATATTTTTTGTTCTTAATAATTTATTGGAGACAAAAAAAACTAAAATTTGTCAACGAATTATTGGAGTGTAAACAACAAAAGTGAGTGAGAGAGAGAGAGACAGTGGGTTGTTTAGCGGTCACCTACCATTCTGTTTCCAACTGCCGTTCCTCCACCAGAAGGAAGGGAGGAGAAGGATCCCTGCTGCTATATTCACCTGAATATGAGGAAAAAGAAGAAGGGGAGAAGGAATAAGCAGATGGCTACGCCGCTGGGGTTATTCAGGCACCCATCAGAATTCTGAAGTTAAGCTTGTTTGGTGCAATTGCCACATTCAGCAATGCACCTGATCTTATTAGAACTCTCAAGTTAAGCATGCTTCGGCCATTGCCCATACTGGAGAATGCAGATGGATGAATAGATAGATAGATGTGTATAGGGGAGGGGCATTGAATGGCGGCGGAAATGCCTTCTTCTTCTGCAGCAGCTTTAGAACCTTACACATCTGCTTCTGCTGTTTCTTTGCAGGGGGACCTTGTTCTCGGTGTAGACAATACTTTCGACATTAGTGATAGTAATAATCATGCCTCCTCTTCTAATTTTCTTCCTCCTTCTCACCAAGAACCGTCATCGATATCAGGTCTGTCATATAGATTGAATCTGTCCATCTATCCTTCTTCGGAGGTGCCCCAGGAGCTGCGGGATGATGCTTGGTCATGCCTCGTCATTCTTCTCACCTTTTGGTTCTTTGGTACTTCTGTATTCTCTTTTTCTCTCGATATCATTATCTGTCGTACCATTACACTATTAGTACTCTGGTTTTGATGTTAGTATTATTCCATTATGCTATTAGTACTTTAGTTTTTATGTTTACTGTTATCCATTATGCTATTAGTGATCTTGTTTTGATACACATGCTCTTAACCTTATTACTCTCTGTGCAATGGGCATCAGCAGTGTCGATGACACTCATTCTTGGCTTTTATGGATCTGTTGATCTCCATCTTACCCCTAATTACTCCCGCCTTTTGCGAGCTAATTCGTTCTTTGTACAGGAAATGAAGGTATTGAATGCCGCATTCCGTGCTATCTTTGAATGGGTGGTTGGGTTTTGCTGAGTTGATGCTCGATTGGCTTTGAATTCGTGTGTGTTTGCAGGTGAAATCAGAGAGCAAACAAGGACCGATGCTCTATGGGTTCTTGACTGTCCCTCCTTTGGATATTGAGACATGGTGGAGCGAAAGCTATAATGTCTCCATACCGTCCAATTCCCACATGGCATGTCCATCCCTTCGATCCCCTACCTTCAACTTTCTTCCTGTGTACGAACGAACATCTTTAACCTGAAATTTCATTTCCGTCTCTGTCCAGGATTGGAACTTCTATCTAAACAGTGGCGCCGAACTCAATGTTTCTTACACTGTGGAAACTAATAATATTTCTCAGCTGTACCTGATAATAGCCAAAGGTAATCCTATCCATTGCTATAGAATAAATAGGAGTGTGACTTTTAAATCTGTTACTACTTTAATTTTATCTTTCTCCCAATTTACTAAATCTCTCCCTCTCTTTTTATCTTTCTAAACTGTCATCCCTAGGATCTCTTAAAAATCTGTTTATTTTTTATACAATCCAATAATAAAGTTATGAAAAAAAATGCATCCATCTCTCCTGAAAAACCTTTTTATAGTTTATTCAAATCTTGATTTGAAAAGATAATCAATTATGAAGAAGAATTAAGAGTGAAGAAAAGTGAAGAAGTAATGAAAATTTTAGAAGGAGGATCTTAAATGTACGTATGCCTGCCAAAAATAGGAATTATAAAAATAGGAATTTCTATAATAGTTCAGCTTAATCCCCCCACCCCCAACAACAAAAAAAACAATAATATACAAATCAAAATAAAAACAATAAGAAAAGGTTAGTTAGAAACTAAATTGCTATAAAAAAAAATTAAACACTATTCTCAATTAAACAAAATGGCAAAATTTTTAATTACATATTTCAATATTATTTTTCATCTAAACTTTCAGCAAGATCATTGTGCAATGTACATGCCATTAGTTAGTGTAATTGTATTCATGCTTTCACATGACTATTTCCGACATCTTCTAAATGCCAAATATGAAAAGAAAATGCATATTTTTTTATCCATATTTATATTATTTGTATTTAGATGAGATACACCATAATGGCTGGACTTATTGGATCATTACTCACTTGACCTGATCTGATTATTTTGATTGATTCTACTTACACACATCTTGAATGCAATTTGGGTTGCCAGATCTAAAAGCATGCCAAATTGTTGGACCCAGACTCCTCTGAGATGTGTGTACAACTCGCGGCATATAATTTATATTTGAAAAACGTGGAAATGTTATACAATTTCTTTTTATATTAATTTGACGTATTTGGAAAAGATTGGTGAGTGTTTTTTTCCATAATCACTATTTTTATATTTTCCCTTTCTTGGAATTTTTTTAAAATGTCCTAAACTAGAAATCGTTTTTTTCTAAATCCAAATTTTCTCTTTTTAAAGCTCGTTTCAAATTTTCTCTTTTTACTTTTGCTATAGTTTATTTTTTACATTTTTCCCTTTCTTTTTTTTCTTTTTTTAATTCTTTTAGGGCCTTTTGGCATCCTCAAGACACAGCCGAGTAACTCACCTCGGCCAAAGGCGAGTCCCTTGGCTGAGGTGAGTCCTGGCACACTGGTTGGACCTGACCAACTAATTCTGATTATGCTCTATTGAATCCCCTGGCTCCATTTCTTCCTTTGCGCACTCATCTTGAAGAGAGGGTTTCCATCAAAAAGTTTATGTTATTTCTTGTCATTCTTGTCCATCACAAGCTATGATACACTTCAATAGTTTACAATATTTGAAGAGCCTTAACAGCCACATGCACTGATAGCATCATATGGAGGAAGCAAATCCTCAAGGAATACAATGTGATTAATGGAAACATAAAGTTTCAAAGTGGTTCGAACTTCTCTTAGTTTATCGAATCGACGACACATGATTCAGAAATACAACCGTTATGTTAGTCATTCTTGTCATGTAACTGATTTATAAATTCTGTTTCTTGCTTAAACCATCTTTACCATGGTGACCTCTAGATGGATGTTTCTCTTTCTTTTTGATAAAATGCTAGATGGTTGCTTCTAACAATATGGGAAGCGAAATCATTCTTGTCCCACTATTTTGCTTGTAACTTTGACTGAAGCATGATGTATAAAAATGAATGTTCACTCACCCAAACCTATAAAGATTTATTGTAACTTCATAGCACTCTGTTTGTGTGTGTGTGTGTGTGAACAAATGAATCGAAAAAGAAAAGCACATATCCTAATCAAGATAAAACAAGAAAACAAAAAACATAGCATTAATCAAAATAGTTGTGAAGGGGGCTAGTTAGATTACTCTCAAAATATCAGGAAATCTCATGATATTTATGCTCATGTGCAGGCAAAGAAAGTCTCGCCGAATGGATCGAGTATCCATCATACCCTAATACCACATTGTCATGGAACATTATTGATGGTAAATATTTTTTGCATCATTTGACAATAGACAACATGCATGTGCATTTTTTTGCATCATTGGACAAGGATAAATGCATGTGCATGCTGTGTATCCTTAAATGATTATTTTGTTGAGAAGCACCCTCATTTTTCTAATGCATAGCAGGAACTGGCATTGTTCAAGAGAAAATTACCAGGGCATCTGATTACTATGTTGCAGTGGGAAATATGAATCCTGAGGATATAGAGGTATATCACCCATGTTGCACGCGCACCATATTTTATGTAGTATACCATCATATGTAATATACCATTTTTCATGCATCAACCAGCTTGTTATACTTGCACCTAATATTTTTCTCCCTGAACCTCTAAAGTTAGGGGTGCGATACCTTTTTAAGATTCAAAATCATGATTTGCACAAAATCATTGAAGAGGGTGATTTTTTTCCCTCACTAAATAACAGATGATAGATGATATGACATTCTGCTGGAGACAATCAAATTTGTGTTAATAAAAAACCTTCTAAAAAATGTCTCCCTGTCATGTCCTGCTCCCAAGTGAAAATTGCTTCTTGACCCACATTTCATGTGCCCTCGTTTTTAGCTCAAGGATTTTATCTGACACACCAACTCCTGAACTCTATTCAAGTCCTAATCATTATAAATCCCTATTTTTTATTTTAGTTAGCTTTAGTACATTTTATTTCAAGGGGAGGATAGAACTTCACTCTCAGGTCCATTTTAAGGCAATTTAATGAGAGTAAGGATTATAAGACATTTAAATAACCAGAATTGGAAACTGCTAATGTTTACAGGAATGGCTTGGAAGTTGTGCTTGCAGCTTACAAATCCCTATTATTTCTTGTATTTAGCTTTAGTACATTTATTTCAAGGGGGAGGCAGAACTTCACTGTTAGGTCCATTTTAAGGCAATTTAATGGGAGTAAGGATTATAAGACATTTAAATAACCAGACTCGGAAACTGCTAACATTTATAGGAATGGGTTGGAAGTCATGTGGTTCGGTTTTGGATAATGCTCTCGTATGTTTTCAGATTACTAAACTGGTCATGATCAACAGGCAAAATCTGGTTTATGGATGTTGTGAGTTACGTTTGCCTTTTCTGCATCATCGTCATCTAACCATTTTCATATCAATGAATCCTAGTAGTTATAATGCCTTTATGTGCCTCCCCATTGATAATTGGCTGATGCCATTCTCATCTTCATTTATCAGATTATACTGTTGATTTTGCATTTTTTAACATTTATAAGCATCATTCTTACTAATGCATGTATTTCAGGTGCAGCTGGAGTTACAAATGAGGACATATATGTACAATACAAGCAATGCGTATTACAAGTGTTCACTTGGCCATGAACTTTGCGGGTTGAAGCTTTTCATTCTGGGAGCAAATGCTGCTGTCCTCACAACACCAACTTTGAAACAGGTTCAATTGGAGTGTAGGACCTCTGTTTTGTTTTTTTTTCTCTATCAACACCACTGATGTGGCTTAGCATATAATTTTGCTTTCAAAAAGAAATGCTTGCTGTTCTCGTTTCATGAAAACAAGGCACACCTGATAGAATGCCCTCACATCTATGACATAATTAACTTGGGCATGATATTCCAGTGATTGAAGTTTCATTTTGTTCTAGAAAAGCAATTAGAGTGTTAGAGAATTTTCTTATTGAAGAGGAACATAGCCCAGAGAACCTCTTAACTCTCATTTCTATATGCTATCTCGGGTGGAAATATTTTATTAGTTTTGTTTCTTATATTAGCGTTTCTTCTTCTGATGTCTCCAGGAGGGGCAAAGGGATGACTGGTATGTGAAACTCTCATATGGGCCAAGGTGGATCATGTATTTTATTGGCTCGGGTATGCACTCGTATTCTCGAGCCATTAACTTGTCCTAGTTGAACTCCTGATCTTATTATTATGCCTTGGCATCTGCAGGTGGAATGACAATCCTAATCTATCTGACCTTCAAGTCCATGTCTGGGTCCCTGTCAAGGGTGGCTGAATTCCAAGCCAGCAGGGAGGTGGCACCTGAAAGAATGCCTTTGCTAGCTCCCAAAGATGATGATAATTCGAGTTGTTGCTCATCTTTCGGCTCCTTCCTCTCTCACGATGAGGAAGAGTATGAGGGGAAGGTCGCAGCTGGATTGGGAGAAGGGAACCACAGTCAAGAAGGTGGTGAGACGAGCAATCTACGACGTCTCTGTGTGATATGCTTCGATGCCCCGAGAGACTGCTTCTTCCTTCCCTGTGGTCATTGTGCAGCCTGTTTTACGTGTGGCTCTAGGTCCTTTTCCTCTTTTCCACTCTAAGCTTCATCCACTTCCAAGAGTGTTTGTTTTTTTTTTTTTTTTTTTTTTTTTTTTTTGAGATTGACGATGAAGATGAATGCTATGTGCAGGATAATAGGTGAGGAGCCTGGTACTTGCCCAATATGCAGGAGGAAAATGAAGAGAGTGAGGAAAATATTCACAGTTTAAATCTTGTAAAGGAGGCAAGTTTGATTAGTGCCATTGCCAGAACTGTGTAATTACTAGCTGGCTATTGGAAGTGTTGTGAAGAGTGGCAAGTTTTTTAAGCCATTTTAGGAGCTGTTCATGGTTTTTTTGTATATTTTTTGGGGGGTTGTTCAGTGGGCAATTTCATATGTGCCCAAGGGATTAGTGCTGCTCACTCCCTCTTCTGCACTCTGAGGCAAGCCCAAGTAAATCCTGAACAATAAGTAGGGAGAAAATGGGCCAAGTCTGAGTTACAAGCAAAAGCACATTATCCTATACTATTCCAATGAATATTTTGTGTAGAAATTATTTTTCCCGTGTATGGTTTGTTGGTATATCTAAATGGAGAAAACGAGTATTAGGTTTGTTTTTTTTTTTTGGTAATTCAGCAGGAAAGACAGGCCCGTGCCCGTTTTTTTAAATAGTTCGAAAGTTAGTTTTTTTAAAGTGTTAGTGACGTGGTATCAGTAAGATTGAAAACCACAATGGTGATTAAGGTATGGGGGTGCTAATACCACCCCATATATGGTACTGTATTACACGCCACATAAGGGCCTCCTCAATTGTACCTTCTTAACCATGGGTGGTGCTGAATTGCTGATCATCTGCACTCGAACTGAAGGGCCACATTTAGAAAAATTGTGGAAAAACATTGTGTTGTTTCAAACTAATGAATATTATGTATTATAGTTTCAAAGGATGTTACTTTTTGCATTGTTCTAAATAAAGGTGTGTTTGAGATTATCTTGGCAGGGGGCATCCATTAGATGACGTTCACATAAGGTTGCCTCCTTATGTCTTAGAAGTAAGGCGCACGATTAAATTATGTCTTGAGGTATAGTTTCAGTGTCAAAAACCTCATGATGGCTTGAAATTTTGTATTCAATTTTAGTTATAAAACTGAAAATTCAAAAAGATAATATAGATTGAGCAAATCTGTAAATATTTAAAAATTATGAAAATAGATGGTCCAGAAAACTTGTTACATGATACAATACTTTTTTTACATTAAATTCTTTTTTTTTCTTTACATCCATATATCGTGAGTTCATGATGATTGTTTAGAAGGTTTTCCACTTCTAACATTCTTTTTATACAATATAAGGTTGCAATTTTATACCTTATGTTCCATTAAGATGTTCCTCGTAATAGAATAAAGTTATTTATTGTATGCATTGTCTTGTCTCTCAGCATTTTAGTAGAAAAAACTCTCGCTCCATTCTTATGCTCTAATATTTATTATATGTATGCAATGAGCTAGGTGGCCTGGTCATACCTAGTGGGCCTGGCCCTAAAAAAGTAGGCCTTGGGCCACGAGCTATCCCCGAGGGCTGGGCTAGGGCAAGTGCCGCCTCACTTCAGCCCGGCTTGACCTTGTTTTTTTTGTTATTTTCTTATATTTTTCTTCATTTGTGTTTGACTTGGCCCACTCTGACCCTAACAAAGCCATGGTCCAAGGCTGGCCTGGCCAGTTGCCACCCTTATGTGCAATATTTCTCATGCATTGCTTCTTGCATGATTTCTCTTGCCCACTATTTGTTGTGTGATTTATTCTTGGGTGTGGTTTTTATAAGCTTGCAATATTAAACAATCCAATTAAGAAATACCTTAAATTTTTATCATAACATGTAATTTTGCTTTTTTTTTAAAAAAAGGATTATCTCAAAATCTATTTTTATATCTAATTATAAATTTTTAAACTCCAAAAATGGTTAAAATCAAGTATATCTATAAACATATGAAAATCTTGAAAATGGACGGTCTTGATAATATATTGCAAGATGTACTGTTTCTGGAACTCGATTTTTTTTTCTTTGTGTTTTTTCATATTCATACATCTCGATGTCGAGATGATCAATTAGAGGTTTTTTCAACATTAAAACAAAATTTTCCAATAGATTTTTGAAGTGCATATATAATTCTACATTTTAAGGTTACAACCTTATATAAACTTTTTTTTTGGTAGTTCTTATACATGGGATTGTATACAACGAGACCATTTACCTTTGATATAGGGAAATCACAATTACTTACAACCATATGATGTGAAATCTAATAGCTTGGGTGTGTCACAAAGTTAAATTTCTTTTGAAATTTGAGCTTGGTCAATGAAATAAATGTAGCCACCCAATTTCACATCCAATGGTTAAGATTAATTATGACCACCTTGTATAAAAGTAAATGGCCTTATTATATACTTTCCCATTATGCATTGTAATATTGGTTGATAAGCCACAAGAAAGGTTTAAAAAAGCGGTGATTCGGATCGAAACCAGCCAATCCGGATCATGAACCGATCAAGCTATCTTGGTTCTCGCTAAAAATTTGGACCCGGTTTGTTCCATATATGAACCAACCGGTTATCTGACAAAACAAAAGAACTAGTCAGAACAAGCCCCACTTTTATTTTTTATTTTCAAATATTTTATTAGCTGGTTCACTTGGCCATATCGCTCATCCCCAATCGACGAAACCGATTTTCTAGATGGCCAATCTAGATCACCAATCCATTTTTTTAAACCTTAATCGTAGGGCTTTAAAGACACGTGTGTTGGTAATCAATATCCATGCTTTATTACCTGTCCTGACCAAATCGATGGACAGGAACAAGGGGCTTACCAAGCAATCTATTTTCTATAGGGAAATTATAGAATGAGACCATTTACCTTTGGTACAAGGTGATCACATTAATCTTGACCATGAGATGTGAAATTGGGTGTTTACAATTATTTCACTGACCAAACTCAAACTTCAAATAAAATTTTTCAAACTTTGTGACACATCCAAACTATCAAATTCCACATCGAATGGTTGTAAGTAATTGTGACCACATTGTATCAAAAAGTATATGATCTCATTATACCATCTCTTTTCTATATCCATATGCTATTTTATTATTTTACTATTGGAATGCTACCCACCTCCACTTAGTAAACTAACTAATTTATGCATTCAAAGTTTAAACTTGTCTTTAAAAATAAATAAATAAAAGCTTAAATTTGTCTTTCATAAGGGACTATCTTGATTTACGTTTTGGAATATTAGCTAGAATGTTAACATTGAAAAAAAGAAAAAAGAAAAAAAAAAAGCTAGAATGTTGTGAAGATAAGGTAAAGAAATCCCTCAATTCATTTCGTATCTCTCGATCTGAATGTAACAAGATAATTCAAATTTTAATATATCTAATGATGAAAAAGTATATAAAGAGAGGGCATCACGTAATACTGATATGAAAAGTTTATATAAGGTGAGGCCCTGAACACTCGATTACCTCAAAAATTTATTAGAAGAAGCTATTTCGACACCCAAAAATTCTCAAGTTGATCATCTCGACATCAAGACGAATGCACATAAGAAAAAATAGATTCTAAATCTTGAAAATAGTACATCATATAATGCATTTTTTGGACAGTCAATTTACAAAAAATTTAAGTGTTAATAGATATGCTTGATCTATACTATTCAAGCTTTAAATTTTATAATTAGATATAAAAATTTTATTTTAGCCCATGACACATTTCTAAAACTAAAACACGATCTTTTGATATTATTTGAAGGTGCGCCTTACTTTGAATGTTTAGGGTCTCAACCTTATTCAACCCACACCCATACTGATAATAGAGTTTCTAATGAAAAAGGTGCTAATATCACAAATGAAAACAGTATGATCTAGATGCGCTTAAAGTCGTGTCAAAGCAATAATCTTGCTTGCCATCAAGGGCAATCTTCAAAAGTGAAAAGTGAAACTGTCTTTGTGTTTTTAGGAAATGAAGTAGAAAATAAACTATTTTTTTCTGCCCTTTCAAAAATCTATTGAGGCATTGCACAATGTTTTGTAGATAAGTGGGTTGCAAATTAGTGGCTAACCTGTCTGATGCATTTGCCACTACTCGCTCTTAAATAGATGGATAAAAATTTAATGTTGTTCCTAAAATTCCGGGTGCAAAAGCTTAAGCGCACTAAGAAAACCTTCAATGCCAGTAAAAAAAGAACAACTTTTATTACAATAAGGTCACGATTGATGTTAGCTGCTAGATGTGAAATCCAATTGTTGGGGTTTTACTTATCATCATGCTCAAGGTTCATTCAATTTTTTCTCAAACTTTTTGACAAATTACTAGCTCCTTAATTTCACATTTAGCGGATAGAAGTAATTATGACTCATTTGTATTAAAAATAAATAGTCTTATGGCATATAATTCCATAAATTTATTCATTTGGGTGTTTTTATCCACAAAGCAGGTGCAAGAGACTCCTACATGCATGCATGGATGGTTGGGAAATGAGTTTCCACCGGCCATTCTCAAAAACAATTTGCTGGATTTTGGTAAAGTGAGATAGGATCTAAATAATAAAGGAAAATGTTTATATAAGGTCGCAACCTTAAAATGTAGAATTACAAATGTGCCTTAAAAATCTATTGGAAAATGTTGTTTTAATGTTAAAAACCTTCTAATTGATCATCGAGATATAAAAAAAAAAAAGATTTTTAATATAAGAAATAGTGCATCTTGCAATATTATTTAGACTGTCTATTTTCAAGATTTTCATATGTTTATAGATCTACCTGATTTTAACTATTTTTTAAAATTAAAATTATATAATTAAATATAAAAATAAATTTTGAGATAATCCTAAGAAATTTTTTACACTAAAATTACATATTACAGACCTCATAGAAACCACACCTTTTATTATTATCACAAAAGGAGAAGCCAAAGGAAGTTTGATGGGAGAATGAAATTAGCTTGTATTCAAATTCCAAAAGAGAGAATGGTACATAGAATAAGAATAAGGAATATGAGATGGACCCCACCTCACGTAAGTAACAATAGGGAAATATTTTGATAGGGCCGTTAGCTTTATCAAAATAAGTATAGTCTCACTTCAAAATTCTCCAAAAATTATAGTTTTGGCATCAGAAAACCATTAAATCGATCATCTTAGCTTTGACCTGGTGGTTGTGGAAAAAAAATAAGATTTCAAACTCTAAAAAATAATATATATTGTAATGCGTTGTCCATTTCAACCTAAAAATAAGTGTATAGAGATCAGCAAGATCTGTATCAATTTTTGAATTTTAAATTTCTTAATCAATATTAAAAATTAATTTTAAAGGCATTATGGAGATTTTCAATATCTAAAGGTGCCTTCTAGGCGAGGCTTTACTTTGTTTTCATAGAGCCTAGCCCCTTATTTATTTACTAATTATTTAGTTTCATTCCACCAACCGCCCACTATCAGTAAAAAGGCAAACTAGGCTGTGTATTGAGGCCCCCCACCACTAACGTCATCTCAAACCCCTCATCATTCACTTCAATTTAAATTCACAGAAGACGGAGTAAAGAAGGTGGAATGAGTCAATAAGGGAGAGATGAGTGTGAAAAGAGAGATGGTGAATAGTAGTAAAGTTTGTGAATAGGGATTAGGAATTGGCAAGTCATGCAATGGGAAGAAGAAGAAGGAGTGGTTATTGTGGTGGTTGTTTGCACCACCACCACCTAGCTTCACACATTCCATGCACCACCACCTTTCTCTCTCTACTCTCAGTGGCTGCTCTGCTCCTCCTCTATAAGGCAAGCCATCTCTCTCTGTCTCTGTTTTCGCTCTCCCCCCACCTACTAATAATGCAATTGTGAATTGTTGTGGAGCAGGTTGCCATCATCTCTCAAACAACAAAGACCATTGTTGGGCACAACCTGGAGCCCACCCCATGGCATAGGCATCAACTCCCCCCTGATAACAATCAGTGGACAGCAAAATATTCTAAGATTTTCCGCTGCTCCTATCTCCTCAATGCCTGCAGCAGCAGCAGCAGCAGCAGTACTAAACCATACAAACAACCTTCAATTGCCTATGCCAATCCGAATCTGAGTAGCAGTCGTGGCGAGTGCCCCGCCTTCTTTCGTTGGATCCACGACGATCTGTCACCGTGGAGGGACAGTGGGGTGAGGATAACGCAGCAAAAGGTTATGGAGGCGCGCAAATGGGCAGCATTCCGAGTGGTGATAGTGGGGGGAAAGCTCTACGTGGATCTTTATTATGCTTGCGTGCAGAGCAGGGCAATGTTCACAATTTGGGGCCTCCTCCGCCTCCTCGACAGATTCCCCGGACTGGTCCCCGACGTCGATCTCATGTTTGACTGCATGGATCGCCCTATGATCCACAGGTCCAGTTTCAACAACCAAAGCGCCACCAGCAACTCTTGGAATTGGCCCCCTCCTCCACTCTTCCGCTATTGCAGCTCAACCAAGCACTTTGACATTCCTTTTCCAGACTGGTCCTTCTGGGGTTGGTAAGTAGTGATCAATCTCCCCTTCCATTGAATCTCGCTGGTCTTTCATGCATTGTATGTAAATGTAATAATTTATAAACCTGTGCTATCAAAACAAACAACACACGCACGCACCAGCAACACCACCGCCACTGTTCATGCCGCTGTTCAAGCTCTTATAGACTGTTAGGTACCTAACCAATACGCCTCAAAACCCTTGGATGATTGAAACATGGAAAGTTAAGTCCTTAAACCGCGTAACATACCACCATGCTTCGCAGCTGACTTCCTTGGCAGCTCTCACTCTATGATGACTCTCCCTCTATGGTGGCCCTCACCCTGATTTTATTTTTTCAGGCAGCCTTTTCCATAGGTAGCCCTTTCCACAGGCCCTTTTCTAGGATTTAAACCTGGGTCACAGTGGTTATTCCGATACCAAGTGTTCGGTACCAGACCAATACGCCCCAAAATCCTTGGGTGATGGAAACACGGAAAGTTAGGCCTTTAAACCACCTAGGATCGTAACATAGACACTCATAAACCACCACTCAGTTATGCAAATCAAAAAGTCTTGATCTCTCCCTTGAACTTTGAACTAGATAATGTGGGTACTTGATTTTATTTGTTTATTGAATTGATTGGTGACTTTGGAGACTGGTCATTCTCTTGTAATGCATACTCTTTTCATCTAGCATTATCTTGATCCCCCTTAGTTCCCAATCCTTTGAACTCGAAGTATCGTCAACAGTTGAATGGATAACAAACGCATAGCCCCGGATTTCAAACTGTGAAAGCAGGTATCTAGGGTCACATTTGTAGGTATAAGATAGCAATTGCACAGACCAATGGAATTCATCTATTATAACTTATAAGAAAGAGACCAACTCTTGTTACGTTATAGTTTTGATCGACACAGTCACCCCTAGACCAGACCGAGATCATTGGCATTCCCATTAGTTATACCACAGTCTCTTCTGCACAGGTCAGAAGTGAACTTAGCTCCATGGGATGAAGAATTCAGAAGCATAAAGCGAGGTTCTCAAAATCTCAAGTGGACTGAGAGGGAGGCCAGAGCATATTGGAAGGGGAATCCTGACGTTCAATCTCCTGTACGTGAGGATCTGTTACGCTGCAATGACTCTGCAATTTGGGGAGCACAGATCATGCGTCAGGTAAGCTGGTGGCTGTACTTGCCTTGAAGCAATTTATATTTCTTTAGAGAAGAAACGGCATTTGTTATTCAAAGTTGTTATTGTCCCTGATTAGTCTTCCAAAGTGGACTATGGGCTTACCATCTCATTTGCATCACAGGACTGGGTAGAAGAAGCAAGAGCCGGTTATGAGAAGTCCAAACTTGCCAACCAGTGTACACATCGGTCAGAGTCATACTAGCCTTTATGGGTGAATTTGTTTCTTGAATTCATTGGCTCTATTTAATCATCATCATCCTCGGAGCTTTTTTCCAAACTATTTGGGGTCGGCTACACGAATCCTGGTCGGTCATTCTACTCTAGGCTTTATTTGTAAATATTTATTTTATTTTATTTTTTTCATGGCAGGTATAAAATCTATGCAGAGGGCTATGCATGGTCCGTGAGTTTAAAATACATTCTCTCATGTGGATCACTTGCATTGATTATTTCTCCACAATACTATGACTTTTTCAGTCGTGGCCTCATTCCAAGGAAATCTTTCTGGCCAATTTCAAGCACAAACCTCTGTCCCTCAATAAAGTTTGCTGTTGATTGGGGTAATGAACATCAGATTGAGGTATTCTCTCTTTTCTCATATAGTTCCATGCAAGTTCTACATGGTGTTACCATACTAAAAAAGCCTGACATTGCAATTTTGATAAAGGGCAAAACTTCATCTTAATATTTCACCATCTAGCCATATGGAAGACAAAAGAATGGCCCATAGAAAGCCTTGAAGCACAGAAAAACCTGGCATTCTGTTCTTAAGTTCAGCTGAGGACTTGTATATTATGGTTCAGGCCTGTAAATTGTTTGTCTGTTCTGAAGTTCAGCTGAGAACTTCAGTCTGTCGAAAACCATTTTTTTCTTTTCCTGTTATTTTCTTTCGTTGGGTTGTTCCTGAATCCTGAATGCTGGCATAGCTGTTCTCGTGTAGCAAACAAGCCCATAGGAGCCAATCGTGTTATATTTGATGAAATTAGATTGAGATGGAAAATTGAATGAGCAAGGACGTAGCCAAACCTCTCAATTGAGAGCCTAACATATATTTTCGGAGGCCTTTATCAGTTTTTCGACATACAATGCATGCTTCCAATCCTTTGTCACTGAAAGTTTAAAAGAAGGGAACCATCCTCGTACTCTGATTTATTTCATTGGTGTCAATCTGTGTGTCAGGCGGAGGCCATAGGCAGAGGTGGACAAGATTTCATGCAGGCAATGAATATGGAAACTGTGTATGATTATATGTTTCACCTTTTAATGGAGTACTCCAAATTACAAGACTTCAAGCCAAAGGCCCCTCCATCTGCACAACTCCTGTGTACGGAATCTGTACTTTGCTTTGCTGGGGCAAGAGAGAGGGACTTCCTCCTCCGTGAGACGCCTGCTGCTGATTCCTCCCACTCCCTACCCTGCTCTCTCCCCTCACCTGACAAAAAACTCATAGGGGCATGGACCATGCACAATCAACACATCATCAACGAAATCCAAGGGAAGGAGGTGGAGAGAAATGTGTCAACCTAGTTCCATGTTATATCACCCTTGTAGTTTGACATTCCTGCCAACCACCTTAAGAGGAAGGGATCGGGTACAGGTTTTATGTGATGAATGTGCAGAACATTGAGGTTCTCAGTTTCCTCAGTCAAGGAGATATGGCTTGTATTAATCAAGGGTGATTTTTGTTTCTTTGTATGCTTTTGCACATCTATTTTTGATGCCATGTAAGAGTGTAGATTGTATGGCATGTTAAAAGTGTAGGTTGTAAAACCAGAAAAAGAGGTGAGAACAGTGGCTAACCTAAAAATGTCAAGTTGCTTACCCCCAAATTGGGTGACCATGTATTTGTCGCATTTGGCGACCCAAAAGAACAGCCTTGCTAAGTTATCCATTGGATTGGCATCAAGGCACTGCCAAATAATGGCTTTTCAAATCCTATGAATCATTCTCTCGGCAAAAATAAAAACTGGCCATTGGCATGTTTAAAGACATGTTAGTGGGTGTTGTGGAGCCTCAGTGATCAAATGGGCTGCTTTATTCACTTTGGACCTGCCACCCATTCTGAATGAATGCACTTGCATGTGGCACAGATGGTGAAGATCTGATGCTGCGTTAGGTAGGTCACCGTGCTATAGAGCATGATACACAATTTCCCTGTTTCGCTTCCATTTAGAATGAGGCAACCAAGTTGGAGACAAGTTTATGGGTCCCTCTTTCAGCATTAAATTTCAAAGTTTGAATGCTTTCAAATTGAGTTTTTGGTAAATGGTGTCCTTTCCGACTTTCGAATCCAAGTTCTTCCAAAGTTTTGTTTCGTTAATAGTTTCAAGAAAAAAAAATTCTTCGAAGATTTTGAATACTTCATTCTTTTTCTTGCCAAATTTCTTTGGCTGGATTTTGACGAAAGATTTTGGTACCGCTGAAGGAAATAAAAATACAGAACTCCAAAGATCCATTGGGATGTGGAGTACGGCAGCAACATACACTCTCCAATTTGAGCCCGACCTTACATGTAATCCAATAATTATGCAAACACTTACATGCACTAAATATGGCTAGAATTATGCAGCAAATATTGCCTATCCAATAAAAATGGTACTATCAACACCCAACTTGATACCCTGTAATTTTTTACGGCCTTAAAAGAGTTACATTCACTGGGTTCAACCCCATGGCTAAACCACACTCTGCACCATGTTGCTATCTTGAGGTTGAGGGTTCAAACCTATATTACCCACCAAACAAATACATCTGACTAAAAAAATTGATTCCAATTGACAAATATTATGAGTTGCATCGGATGCATATATGTAGTGTGTGTATATATTGTGTTCATACAATATGAGACTGATTCAACAAGTCACTTTCAAGCTGACCACGGGCTCTTCGAGTCTCCAACACTCTTTGCATTGCATAATGGCACCTGCACAAATGATATCCCAAAAAAAAAAAAGTCAGGAATCTGAAATGCCAAAGTTTAGACCAATAAAACGTCCAAGGACAAACATTTGATGGCATGTGAAAAGAGTGGCAGGATGGTTCCTAGCCCCATATTGTATTAGTAAAACCACATAAGGAAAGAGGTTATCTGTACCCATCATTCCATCCAAGTTCCATTTTAGTATTGAGTCAACAAATGCGCCTTGAGAATCTAAAACATATCAAACCTTTTCCCTACAGTGGGAGGAGAGTAGGTAAATTCAAAGCAAGAAATTGTTTCACCCAAGAATTGCTTGAACATTGGTCAACATCACAATGTCAGAAAACTGTATGCATATCGAGCTACCTTTGCATCATTGAATTAGCCAGTCTTCTAATAGTTCATTAGAGATTCTCTCTCTCTCTCTCTCTCTCTCTCTCTCACACACACACACATACAGGGGGGGTTGGGGCATATGCATACACGCGGTTACAACTATCCTTTACAGGGCACCAAACTTTTCCCAGTATGGCCAAGTTTCTCTCTCCTCACATCTTGCACATCTTGAATTTTCACAAGGCACTTTTTATTAGTTTTTTGGAAAGGAACAAGCACAGCAATGTAAAACTTTACACTAGTGCTTCTCCATTTAATTTTTACTGGCCCTTCCTTGTCATAGATTCTTTTTTCTCACTTGTCAAACTTTATTGGCCATATTTACCAATCGAAATTTGAATAGTGGTTTTAGCAACCATTTTTATCTTGGGAAACGTTTATATATTGTGCTTTCTCTTTAACAGTCGACAGTTTTCATTGAAATTCCACTTGACGTGTAACACTATAGGCAACTCAACCCTGAACGCATTGTTAATGAACTTTCTTTAATGGTTCATCAGACACAGGTACTACCCTTTACTATGTGACGCCTATCACTTTCTTTCTACAGTCCTACTTAGTTCATTTCCGTTCAGAATTTCCTATGTTCTCCCCTATATCTTGATCCGAAATTTGATTCTCATGTTTTCCAATCCAGCACACCTAACTTGGCTTCTATTTAAATAGGGAAAAACTCAATGTCCTTGTTTCCTAGAAATGGTGGGCTACAGTATTCTATTTTGGTCAAACTGTGCTCTAAGGTAATGGTTTGCTATCATTTATTGATAGCTTCACAAGACCAGACCTTGATGTTGCCTAAAACAGGCCAGCCATTATAAAGCTGGACACCAGACCTTTTTTTTGCATAAAAAGGTTTCTTGAGACTAATAAAAATTTCATAGACTATTCGCTTTTGTGGCTTCAAATATACCACACAGAGAAGCTGCACAATAATCTTCCATTGAAATGTAGCTTTGTCCCATCAGGCCCCCACTACCATTAAATTAATTACAATGATGAGAACCAATGACGGAAACTTGCAACAATGTTCCTCACAAAAGATGAAGGCATGTGATTAAGCATTGCAAGAGTTGTTAAGAAAGAAATACACGGGCCAGTTTCTTTCTTTCCTTGTTTCTTCAGAGGGATAGACAAGTTACATATACTGCCTGGGAATAAAAGTAAATGCATTGGTTCAGGGCATTACGTTGATGAAGAATGTCAGGTGCATCTAGGTAAGAAAATAGCTACAAGAACGGATATAATGGTTTGGCAAGTAAAATGTCATATGGCAAGAATGTGACATGTCTTTTCATTGCTACACATACTTTTCTCTACATGTATAATAATGCAAATCCATGCAAGATAAATCAGACAATAAAGTTCAATGTTGACTTGCATAGAACATGGGGACAATCTCTAAATAAAAGGCATAAAAAAAATGTCTTATTACCTCCATGGCAAGTGATCGAGGAACATGTACGGGCTAACAATTATGTCCTTAAAACTTTCTCTATCAGCCAAGAAAGCTCTATAGTTAGTTTCTCTGTCATGAGATTTCCAGCTTTTCCATAAAGGGAAATTCATTTCCCTTAGTTCTGGTACTATATGAATCACCAGGCCAGGGAGAAACATCTCCCGTGGATCTCTAAGTGACCCGTCACTAGACAGTGAGGATTCCAGAAAAAGAAAATGAGATGAATTATTTCCATAGTCAAGTGTCTCAGTATCTCTCTCAGTGCAAGGTTCAACACATGTACGCATCATATCAGGACCGCTGTCCGTATTGTACTCTTCTGAATTATCTGTCTTCACAAAATCTTGGTCATCAATGTAGGAAGTTGCTTCTTGATAAAGAACAGTCTCATCTGGTTCACTTCCTGCAGCCAAGGCACAGATCTTTTTAGAGGACAGACTCCCAGATTGCATATTTAAGTCTGAAGAGATGTCTACTATTTGAAAAACATCAGGAGCATCTTGGTGGCCATCATGACATCCCAAAGGCTCAACTGAGGATGCATTCACTGCACACTCAAAATTATAGACATCCCAGATCTCATTTGTTAGTACAGAACCATGCTGATCACTGGACATGTTCAGCATGCAAGAAATCGCATGAGCACACAGCCAAACCCCACCTTTGATCATGGATTTGTAGTGCCCTCTCCTAAAGATTTGGCTACCATCATCACCAGTCATAGCATTGGAATGTAAAGGTGGCACATGATCTGTTTGACACTTGTTTGCACACATAAGGTGTCTCGCAAGTTTGCAAATCGTGGCAGAATTTGCTGAAGAACCCTGTGCCAGAGCTGCAATGGCAGCTGATTGGAGCCTTAGGATCGAGCTTACTGAAAGGCGTGCTGAGAATTCATCATTGTATACAATACTGCAAACAGTCAAACACGGGACAAATGAAAAGCATTTTTTTTTTTGGTGGGTGAATGAGGGAGGAAAGGGTCTCGTGCCCATTTTCATTAATTCAAAGAAAGAAAAATAATTATAAAAGTACATTATGACGCCCTTCGATGACTAAAATTTGCTACAGAAGAATAAGGAGATAAGAAGATAGAATCTGGAGGTCGAGCCATCCAAATCGTTGCCTCCGTTGACAAATGAAAAACCTCCAAATCGTTGCCTCAGTTGACAAATGAAAAACAATTGCATTACAATAAGTTCGCAGAACTGATCCCTTTCAAGCATGTGTCACAGACAATGGGTGCCTTGAACCATAGTTTTCTAATCCACAGACCTCTAATGGAGAACATTACATACTATGCATTATCTGGACGAGCACTGCCCAAACGCTATGCCACAAAACATTTTAGGTAAGGACATATTTTGTCATTTGCAAAGGGCAATGACAAAAATGTAAAGAGCAAAATTTCAGAACCAACATTCATTTAATGTCAATCTGACTTTCCCGAGATGATTTTCACCACATGTCCCCTCTAGAATTATATGATGAATTTGTAATTGACTCCATCATCTCTGGAAAAAAATTAAAAGAAGTTCCCTGCCCAAAATATTTGTGATACAAGGGTAGGTGCATTTTTTGTCTATTTGGGAATCCTTATTTTGCATGACATTCATGCCCAAAAAAATTACAGTAACTATCAACGAGGCTAAAGAAATATAATTTCATGTAAGCAGAATATGAGACTCAAAAATAGACATCCGAAATCTATGGATACCTTGTGACAAAATCTGAACATGCTTCTGCTATGATTCGATCAACACATGGTAGTGTTCCATATGAGTACACATGTAGGTTTGGATAATGTTTGTATAGCTGCAAGCAAAAAAGGCATACAACAAGATCAATCAACAACATAAACAATCAATAACAAAAATTATTTCCCTTGACACCTAAGCAAGAAATGTTTCATTAATCAAGCATGAGAACCAGAGGATAGCACTAATTTCATGAATTTTCATTAAAGTGAGAAATATATTGGCAAGGACAAAAATGTAAAAGAAAACTTACCCTCAATCCCAACAAAGCACCAATAGCACCACCTAAAGAATGTCCAACAATGCGAATGTTGTAGCCCTGACACTCGCACCCAGGTCCCAATAGAGAATAGAGGAAGCTATTCATTTTAAACTTAGAATCATCTAAAAAGCAATAAGTTCAAATTATCATCAAGCTAAAGGGAAATACATTACCAAACATTTCAGATTATGAAATTATCACATCTTCCATAATAGTGGAAGAGTAGCATCCATCGTTTACAGCCAAAATCACTATTCACAAGAAAGAAGAAAGGGGTATATAATAAGGCAAAAGTAAAAAAAGATCAACATAATAAACATCTAGTCAAATATGCAATGAAAGGGCAGTCGTTTTGCCCAAGACGACAATTTTACATGAATGATCTCACGACTGAATAATTCATTTTTTTTCAAGATTTTCTTAATGAATGGAACAACAAAAACATCAAAGGTTCATGTAGATTTAAGAAGCAGGAATCCTCCATGAGATCTTTTCCAAAATCAGTAATTTTCTTGATGAATGGAACAACCAAAACTTCAAAAGCTTATAAGGCTATGGAGGAGATCCACGAGATCATTCAAAATTCTTTAACATGAATATTCTTTGCACACGGAAACCCTAAGATCATAAGCAGCAGGGCTCTAGGTCCATGAGAGGAATAAATACATAGCACGGCAGCCATAGTGCATGATGGGAAAAAATCCCTAGGCAACACAAAAGAGCTTCAGGCCATTGAACACCAGCCAAATAAGTGGCTTAGGACAAGGGCAGATCATTTATGTTAATTACGAAGTACAAAACTTTATGATGACCAACGGCCAGAAATATCACCAGATTCAAATTTTGGGTACGCATGAAAGAGTTCAGAATCACACCTTCTCATAAATAGGATGGTTACTTATGAGTTACCAATAAGTAACACAACAAGCATGCAAACCAGTTCCAATGAAGTGCAAGAGATAAAATGGGCAAGAGCTAATTTCCATAATTCTAGAATGGATAATCCCTACACATGGCAACATTTTAGAAACCATACCAGATATTCAACTGAAAAAGCGGCTGGTCTGGCCCTATCTACTTCAAGCACTGATTACAGTGGACCAGTTAAATGAAATAAGGATGAAAATTTGTCAATTGATGGGTCTCTATTAAAATAGGCACTTCGATGAAAACCAATCTTTTTTCCTGAAACATCTTGGCACTTTTGCTGAACACAAGCAGACCATTTTTGGCCCCAGTTCCCAGTCCAACTAATTAACCCAGACAGGGAGCCCAGTTTGTACAGCATTCTTACTGGTACTGATGCATATTCGGAGAAGAGGAGGGTAAAGAGAGCTTGCGTGAAATACTAAAGATGAAATGGCAAGAATATATTATAGTAGAAAGCAAGAACAGTAAAAGATTAGACCCCTCCTATTGGTCTAAGCATGTGTTGATACAAGATTCATTAAATTCCTTGTCATTTGCATAAAAGACGCATATAGTGGGCCATCTTGAACTATAACTAAACCATTATTTTTCTTACTCTATTAAAAAGAAAAAGCTAACAAAGTGCAAAATAAATTACCCTAAGACCAATGCCAGCTCTCAAAGTTTATAACTACATATAGAACCCTTGTCAAGGGACTGGCATATAAAATCTCATGAATATCACCTAACACTTCAACTGAGACCTCCAGTTCCCCTTAAGAATTTATCACAAATGTGCAACTTCTAAGTTGAGCCACCACTATCATGTAGGCACCAAAATCAAGAGATGCCCAAGAATCAGCAAGTAGACATCATAATATGACCCATTACTACACTAACCAAAGCATCCACAGTTTCCAATATGTAGACACCATAATATGACCCATTACTACACTAACCAAAGCATCCACAGTTTCCAATATGTACTACAGCCATTCATCTACTTCATCGTTCCCCCTTCTAGGCCTCTTTTTTCATTTTTTCTATAGTGATTTTTCAAGTTTTTTAGCCACACCAGCCAGAAAAGATGACAACCCTGGGGAATCTCTACCCCCCTCACTTGCTTGACAAGATACTACATTTATCACTACCCTCTGACAGCAAATAATCTCTCTCTCCTATTCAACCACCATAACTTCAAATGTATGAATCACATCTAAAAATTAAGAAGAATCCCCTCTAAAAATTAAAGAGAAGGCTAGATATACACTTGAATACAGATATTAAACTATGGATGTTTAGCACATGGAGTTACTTGGGTGGAATAAAAAGACATACATCCAAACTACTCAAGGAATCAGGCTTGGGCTTCATTAGTTAGTTATTGCAACATTAGGTCCTAAATTTGATTTCTACCACCGAACTACCCAAGAAAAGGGCCCTATATCTGCTCAATACATATAAATACAAAAGCACAGGAAACAATTCTATAAGGGACAAGATGCATACTATCAGCTTCCGACTTGTGATCATTGTCTCCAGTCTCTCCATCTATTTGCATATAGAGCTCTCGAGCAGCTTCAACTATACCAGAATGGCCATAATGTGGGAAAGATGAAAGAACATGCTGCTTTACATCGGCAGCTAAAGCATTACTACTGCATATAAGGAAAACATTTTTGGTACATCAGATTAACAATTAAAGAAAACTTGCATTAGAATAAGAATTACTGTTAGCAAGGTTTCCAAAGGCCATTCATTGATCAGATGGGCAAGGTTATAGAATGATGCTAGACTAATGATATGTAAAGTTCCCCATGGAAACAAGTCAAGGTATTTCAGCATAGGAAGCAATATGCAGGACCAACACAAGAATGAGATCCTCCCTTCAGATTACCATTAGAATGGAAAAAACAAAATAGCTCCATGTACAATTACTTATGAATCACCTGACAATAATTTACACACAAATGCCTTATTAAAAAGAAAACATTTGAAGATCTGACTCAAAGCCTACTTTAATAGCAGTAAAAGAGACATCCATGTGAACATGGAAGCGTAGGGCAGCAAAATATAATGCAAACAAGATGCTTTGTGTGTTGTAAATTGCAATCCCAACAAGAGCACAATTGGGTTGTCATTTTAGAAGAATGAATTTGACTAAGCAGAAGCAATACCGGCACGTTCAACTCAGATATTGCTGTCAATAATTGAAACATGCATCCAACAGGAGAGGAAAGTGAGAAAATCCTTATATAACCAAGGAGGTCACCCACTGAGCACAGAAGAGACATTGTATCATTCCTTGCAACCTTCAATTACAGAGGTGAAATCTTCGGTGGATTTGCCTGTAGATGATCCTCTGAAGGGCATGGTCAGAGAGGAATAACATGATTTTCAAAGGTGTTCTCTGCAGAATGGATTTTTTTGATATGATATGTGATATTTTGATCTCTTGGAGTTTGGCTCTTCGTGAAGAGTGTCAAACCTGTGAATCTTTGTCTTGATAAAATCATCATGGTGTTTAGCGAGTCCTCAAGATGGTTAAATCCCTGATCAATTGGTTTTCTTTCCCAACAGGTACCTATACGTTAACTTCATCAACATCTCTAAAGGAAAATAAATGCCCTTTAGAGATGTTTATCATCCTTTCCTTGGCCCATGGTATTACACATGATGTTTTAGCTAACAGCGGTGGGGAATGCATCTCATTCACCCTAAACTTCACGAAGGTGATTGAAATCAAGTACTTTTGGATGTGAAGGTCTGAGGAAAATCCCTTTTTGGGCTGGTTCACTCCTGAGTTCACGATGCTGCTGCTGCCACAAATCCTAGTCTCACAGATCCTACCGTTTCATTTCCCTTGCTCTATACCCTCCTCTTTTCATCCATATGCTTATATAGACATGCACAGCATGTGGGGTGTGTGTCTCTGTGCACTAACATTCAACGCATGTACGTTTTGAGGAGAAGCTCAAATACCTCAGAGATAACCAAATTCAAAAGATATAAAAATAAAATAAAAAGAAACGAGAGAAAATAGGACATATGAGACAATAAGTGTTTCCTATTTCCTATTTTATATATCTACCATGTAGACAACCCCAAATAGTTTGGGATAAGGCTAGGATGATGATACACCTATCATGTGAAAATAGAGAGGAGAACATAGCTTAAATCCAGAGTAATTTTAAAACTTCCTTTTGAAGTTAGAAGTCTAGATATTTAAAGGTCACTCTTGCATTTTAAATGGAAATTGGAAAATTTTGGAAACAAAAATTTAGGAAAAATCTTTATAATTATCAAACGGATAAAGAGGATGCAGTGTAGAGAGAGAGAGAAAGAGAGAGAGAGAGAGAGAGAGAGAGAGAGAGAGAGAGTATTTCCCTTAGATTAGCTGAAGTAAATATTTGAAGAGAGAATTTTATTATCCTTGAAAGGAAAAAAAATAAATATTTATTATCTGTGTTATATGTGTATGCATGTATGTTTGTATGCATATGGAAGAGTTTTTTGTGTTGTCTAGACCTCCATGCAAAAACCATTCAAATGAACAGTGGAGATTAGATGAGACAACCACCCACTAATGCAACAACACCACCAAGATTGCCCGCACCATCACCTCCACCACCCCACCACCACTGCCCTCAACAACCCACCACTCTGCGAGTAATGGTGGTGGTGGCAAAGTGTGTGTGTGTGTGTGTGTGTGTATGATTTCATGCAACGGTTGTATCATAGTATAATGCAACTGCACTTCTAGAAAACTATGTTTGTGGTATTTGTATGACCCAAAATTTTATACACACACTCTCTTCATCTCAACAATCAATTTTTTTTAAAAAAAACTCATTTGCACCCTATATATGGTCAAAATGAGTCCCTCTAACAATGAATCTAGACCGTCCATTTGATGAATTTCAAGATCTAGGCCTTTATGAATTCAAAATCATTTTTCTTTTTTAATATTGTTAATCTAATGATAATAAAATTTATCTAAAAAATTTGGAAAGAAAAAAAATCATTCTAAGGCCTAGATCTAAGCATCTCACCAAAATGGACGGTCTGTATTAATTGGGCTAAAGAAATACATTCTAGGTTGTGTTTTCAAATTTTTCTTTTTTGTAATTGTTCATTAGAATGAAAAAAAACAAATGGCCCTAACATAGTTTTTGAAGGTTGTTGCATCATATATATATATATATATATATGGAAAAAGCTGGCATAGGTCCACTAGTCTACAGCTAGCTACATATGAGCCCACCGGCCCAGATTCAATCTATATATATATATATATATATATATATACACGCAGCGCACACACACTCACCCATACACACACACACATAAATAATGCAACAAATGTACCTGTATTATTCAAACATCACACATGCCCTTGGGGGCAAGACAATCCAGATCATTGCAACAACATCTGACATTTCAACCTGGAATATTGTACATATTCAAAACTAGGTGCTTTAAATTGTAAATATGAAGAAAGAGAGTTACGTTAGCAATCCATCCAATTCTTCTGCAGAAAGGGTACATTCTGTGCACAACCCGTCCGTTATGAGGTCTTCAGGAGTCTCAGTTCCTCTCACAACAATTACAACACATTTTACATGATGTAGAACCACCACAAAATAAGCAGCTTCACACTTTGTCTGCAATAAAAAAAAATGAAGCTCTTCTCAGTAAAACCTTCTTTTTTGTGTTTGTTCTCAGGAAAAACTTCTAGAGGAACTGTTATTTTTAGAACTTCGAGATAATAGAAGAATATAAGAGATTTGGATGTTATACCAATTAGAAGGAAAGGAAATTTTGAAGGATATAAGAGAGTTTGAGATTATGGCCAAAAAATAGAAAAGGGAAGTTCTTTTAGAATAGGCTGATAAAATCATCAGATAGCCAACACTCAATTATTTGTGCTATCATATTTCCTCTAAAAATCTAAGAGATTATACTTTAGAAGACAGTTACATGTATCAACTGAAACATATATCACATTAACTATTTACAAGGGTCAGAATAGATTCCAATAATCAGCTAATATTTAATACGAATATACAATGGTCATTGGTCGTAGGATAGGAGACCCTAGAATGAAATGAACCCAACCATCAAGAAGACAATGAAATGGTTCTGAACCATTCATTGCACATAGAGAAAATCTGGAATTTTTAACACGGATTATCCATCTTAGACTGCAAACCTGAATATCATCAGTTTCATACTTCAATTATTAATTGATCTGTCCATGACTTCTTTTGGTTGTAAAGTCCCAACCACTGGAGATCTTTGTAAGTTGGAGAAGGAAGTTCTCTGTGTGATCCAAACTTTTCCCCTGAAGGAACAGCCCAAACCTCTAGTTCTCTACGAAAGGATAACAATGCTGTTGTTTCCATAGGCCAGCATAAGCCTCTGAAGGAGTATACTAGAAGTATTTAACACAAACTTGGAAGCCCATCTCACGACCTTGCCAGTGAAACAGAAAATCCAGGTAACCTTGTCTAAGTCAAGGTTTAAATGTCCATCTTAAGTGTATGGATAAAATAACAAAGAAAGTGAGATAAAGAGGATAACAAACAAAGTGAGATAAAGAGAATATATTTTAAAAGTTCTGTAAATGAATGAAAGATATATAGGTGCAGAAACCCCAGTACAATAACCAAATCAACTCATTTGGATAGAAAATATCAAATAACTGCTGCACCAAAACAATATACAAGGCTATGAGCCAAGCGCAGTTGACCTTCCAATGCTCAAATCCAATTCTATCTCGGACTTATGGAACCTGGTTTTCTGATCTTAAAGAACAATACCTGGCTTACACGCCCTCCACGAAGTGCTTCCGGAGGTAAATTAACATATTTAAGAAAGGCTGCTGCATGACCCCTCCACCAATTATCACCTTGAAGAATGGGTCGCCTGCAAAAAGAATGGACCAGAAACGTTAAAATCACATTCTGAAACCATCCTGCAGCTTGCAAGGGATGGACCAAACTACATGCAATAACACTACTGAAATAAAATAAATCAATGACAAAGTTCACAAGAAAAATTGAAAAATTTCCAAGGTTCCAAAACAATATTGCTTCACAATCCTCGTGACATTACTAGTAACAAAAAAGTGCTTTGGTGATTCAAGTAGAAAACCTGGTGAATGTCCAGGGAGTCAAAATCCCTTGCCGGTGGAGCCAAGCACAAGGAAATAAGATAGGATTTCTTCCAAAATCAAGCAACGGCCCCTGCAACAAAGAGCACCTTAAATAAAGCAGAACACAACAGACAAAAAATAATCAAATCAGTAATATTCCAAGACAGAACTGTGTAGGCAGCTTCTGCAAACTGATGAAACATGGCAGCTTCCTGAACCCGTGCTTCCGGTGCCTGTGGAAGCCCATCAAATGATGGTAGTGATTCTCTTTGTCTCTGAAGGAGTGCAAGCCCTGCCCAGAAAGGGTTGTTCCAAGATCAAACAAGTCATCATGTTTAAGACCAATCTAACACAATTACTAGGTGATTTGAAGAGAATTTATAATCCATGAAAGAGTATAAGATAACCTTAAAAGTTGTGAATAGAAGGGAGAAAATAGTTATCTTGGATCACTGCCATTGCATAAGAAAAAGGTGATCTATATCAACGAACTACAATACCAACCAGAAAAAAACAGATGGAAGGGACCCGTGCACATGGTCAGCAAAGCACAATGGATTATGAGTCGTGACTTTTGAACTGAACTACAGAAACTCAACACTTAATTTCATCGAGTAATTGACACTCAACAAAGCTTCCAACAACCTGGGGATCCCTCTCTAACTCTCCTTTCTTTCCCTCCTTATCAGATCAGTCGAGCCTACGTACTCCCTCAACCTTGGTATGGACAAACAAAAAAGAAAGAAGAAAGAACAGAATTGAATTCTCTTCTTAATTGAATTCTTCACCGATCTACAAGGATCAGAGTATATATATATATATATATATATACACACACCTAGATGGAGAACTACGTATCATGATCTAGAGACATTAAAAAGCACACACACAGAAAAGATGGACGTGCAGTGAAAAACAGATTCCAACTCTTGTAAGTATGTTGAACCAACCAAACAAAGTCCAAAGTTCAACAAAATAATTTAGGCAAGCAATTGAAAGAACGAGACAAACTCAAAACAGCAAGGACCTAGTTCTCCTCCATATTCACTCTTCTTTCATTGTCAAAGATGGCACTCTCATATCAAAAAAATCTCCTGAATGCATAAATTGTTTTCTCGGAATTTTACTTCCCCTTACTTAATATGGATGACTCAGTTAAAAATCCAATTTAATGTGGATGAAATGTAGACACACTATTAGCAGCTAAATGCTATAGACACAAAATTCAGTTCAATACCATATATAAATCCCAAGAATAACAGAACTTAAGAGGACCAATAGGCGTGGAACCAGAACGAGAACTTCCAATGAGCAATATTGATGGTAAAGGAGCAAACAATACCAAGTTAGGCCTTTTTTGCACATAAATGTGTTTGTTATCATGGTTAGACATCCTATAAATGTGTTTATTCATAACAATCTCCTGAAGCATATCAGCAAGCTCACTTAGACATAACCAGAAGAAACGTCAATTGTACAAACAATAAAACTGTAGATCAAATATAAATACGGTGGCAAGTGAAAGATGACAAGTCAAGTAAATCCATTTTCACATTAAGCATTATCTTGGGAAGCAAAGAAAAACCTGCCAATAGTTCCAAATGCCCCGTGCCTGTTGCACGATATGCTACAAGATCCCCCAATAGCCTCGCCACTGAATCGATCTCATCTTCCTCCAACACGCTCCTAAATGAAGAGAGAGAGAGAGAGAGAGACATCAGATGAACAAGACTGAAACCTTTGTAAAGTCATTGGGTGGGTCAAACAACGGAAGAAAAAGCATTGAAAATTGCAGGAGCCTACAAGTATTTTACACGTCCCAAACAGCACAAAGCCTCTCGAATCCCATGATCAAATACCTCCCTGTAATGAGCTTTCCAGGCAGTATCATGAGTTGCATAGAAGGACCGCCACCTTAAAACATCTGATCCAGTACAACATTGTACAGCCACCAAAAGACACGCGTGGATCAAGAAAACGAAAACTAGAACTCGCTTCCAGCTTGTCCGATGTGCCTCCTCCGCTGCAATAAACATGCAACAAACTAATCTCAAAGTCTGCATTATCAAGCAGCATGAGAAATTGATATGGGGGTACATACATAAACATATTAACTAGAATCCTTTTATGAATTAGAAAGGAATGAGGTACATGAAATATTGGAGGGACAAAAAACAATATACTCATTGAATGAGTATAGCGGAGACGAGGATGTTGAGATGGATAAGTGATAAGAAAAAAAGGAATAAAATATGAAATGAATCCATTCGAGAATTTAGGTGTAGCACCAATAAGCGATAAGATGAGAGATAGTAGAATTAGATGGGTTCGTTATGTGTGGCACTTACGATAGTAGAATTAGGTGGGTTGGCTATGTGTGGCACAGACGATAGTAGAATTAGGTGGGTTGGCTATGTGTGGCACAGACGATAGTAGAATTAGGTGGGTTGGCTATGTGTGGCACTGCCCAAGTACAACGATTAGGAGGTACAAGTTAGTTCAAGTGGAAGAAAGTAGTCCGACGAGATATGGGAACTGATGGCAGACCAAGATTCGTGTAGCCGACTCCAATTAATTGGGATTCGTGTAGCCGACCCCAATTAATTGGAAAAAGGCTATGATGATGAAATGAGGTGCACAATTTGACCAAAATGGGCTCATAAATCCTTTATACTCTAGCGAGAGTGCAAACTAACAATCCATGTAGCAGAGCAGATGACAGGCATAAAGAATTAGCATATGGAGGCAATGGCATGCAATTCAAATCAAGGGATTAGTTTTCTGACAAGTAAAAAAAAAACAAAAAATTTCAATGGCAATGTCCCAATCACTTACCAGAAAAGCAACTAGTAATTGAATTTCCATTAAAAGAAGACGATGTGTTCCTAACAGCAACAAACATCAAATATACAGCAGCTAAGAACTGCATCACTGTAATAACCATTCCTAAGCGAGTCCACCAAAGCCACCGCTTGTACCTCATCTGTTCAAAGAGCATGAACAAAAAAAACAAAAAACAATCTCATGGTGAACAGACAAAGAAGAAGATAGATGAGTAATTAATCACGCATGATGAAGTAGTAGGTGCAGGGTGGAGAGACTTAGGGGGGGTATTTACTCGTCGGTCGCGTCGGACTACAGTGGCTTCGCCAAGATAGGCGGCACCAATGCCGCCGCCGCCATTGTCTGTATCGAGCTGCTGCTGCGGGTGGGAGCAGGTGAGGATGGTGACGGCAGTAGCCTCCTGAGCGGCGGCCGTGCCAACGATGGCCAGGATCCTCACGGCAGCAAGCATTGCCACCAATACAAATGGTGGTCCATATGATGAAAACAGGCATTCTTCTTCTTCAGCGGCTGTGTTCGTGGGGAGGAGGAAGAGGAGGATGGCAGCTAGGGCAAGTGCGGAAATGTTGGCGAGGGCGAGATAAAGAGTGACCCACCTTGCGCTCTTTGCCCTCCTCCACCACCCCCTCAACATTTCCTTAATTCGAGGAGGAGAAGGACCACCACCACCTCTTTCTCCACATTCTATATTCTTCACAGCAATTGATTTGAAATTTGTTCCCCCTTGAATTCTCTCACTGCCCGTGATTGAGCAATGGATCAGAAGAAGAAGGAGATGCTATCCCCGTCCATCAATCAATCAATCGGAAAGAAAGAGAGGGATGCCATTTTCCATAAGAATTCCTAGCTTTGTCATGACATGGTCCATTGAAAATAAATAAATAAATTTGAATTGGGGGAAGATGCCAAGGAGAGAGCGAGAGAGAGAGAGAGAGAGAGGCCAAGTTTGGTGGCAGGGAGAGGCCAAAAAAAAAAAAAACAAAACAAAGCGATAGGGACGACTAGCTTTGGCTTAGCTCGGCTTGGCTTGGCTTGTTTCGGCTCGACTCGGCTTGGCTTGGCTTGTTTCGGCTCAAATCGGCTTGGCTTGCTTGGCTAGGCTTTTATCCGCTTTGCATAGCTCGGCTTGCCGTGAATTTTCTTGGCTTGGCTTATTTCGGCTCCGTTTGGCTTTATATTGCTAGGCTACTCTTGTATGGTCTCCACTCTCCACATATTAGTAAAGAAACATTCCATTATAGCTTAGCTGAGTGATACAAGCCGAGCCAAGCTGAGCCTAGCCGTTATAAGCCGATCTAAGCTGAGCTGAGCCGATATAATCCGAGCCGATCCTTTTAAAGCCAAACCGAGCCAGAAAGCAAAAAGTGAACGCTATAAAATTAAAATAAATTTTATTAATATAAAATGTTTAAAAAAATGTATTTAAATATATAAAAAATAAAATATTAAAACTAAAAGGATTTGTGTTTTCACTGGAGTACGTTGTATACCTACTCCATTTACTCTATCCACCGTTAATGAAATAGAACGATAGATCTCTCTCATCATCATCAAGTAAGTTACCTTAACTGCCCTTCTCTCATCACCACTAGCTTTGGTTTTGGTGTTGTTCATTACTTACTACCAGTGCTCCATCACATGGACCGGGGTATGGGAAACCTGGAATCGGTGCCGGTTAACTCGAAAAAACCGGACAAGTCGAAGATTAGCAAAAAATTATTAAAAATTGAAATAAATATAAAAATTATGTTTAGACTTTAGAGTAAACTTACACAAAGCACATCTCAATAAAGTGAAATAATACATTTTGAAAAAATGCAAATTATGAATGGGGGCACTCTTAAAATAATTTGGGGGTACTCTAAAAATAATTAAAAAATAAGGTAAAATATAAAAAATAAGCATTCATTCCCCAAACGGTTTTCAAGCTTTGACAAATTGATAATATATATATATATATAAAACCAGGGTTTAAAAAATCATCGACTCGAGCCGGACTCGTCCGGTTCAACTCGGGAATCGCTACAAGACGCGCTGATTCAGTACATAAACCGGGAATCGCCCGTGTTCAGAGAGAACCGGGCGATTCCCAATAGTAGACTCGCGATTTCGTCGGAGTCATACCGAGTCACCCGGAAGAACACGAGCTGCACAGTGTTCTTCATGGGATTTCTATTTTTTTTGGCATTTTGTGATTGGTTTTCAACGTTTTCAGCCTTATGAACGAATATTACAGGTTTTAATTCAAATTTTGAATCATTTTCACTCAATAAAACGAATTAAAAACCACCGTTTTTTATCAAAAAATTGGATCAGAGTGAGATTTAGGGTTTCCGCCATTTCAGTGATTTCAATCGAAATAAAGCTTAATTTTTTGTAAAATTTCAGGCTAACTGATTGTAAGAGTGTAGGTCAGAATTTTGTGTTCATAATTTGTGATTATCTTAGAGGAATACATATCAATTTTGAGTTTAAAGGCACGGATGCATGAAGAACCGGTAAAAACTCAGTTTTTTTTTTTTTCCGCCATGCGATCAAATCCAGTCAATATTTTACAAATCATGTATTAAATTTATAGGGTTTTGATTATTTGTAGTGTTGTTTATCATTAGATATATTCAATTTGATTATATTTATTTAATTTGAGTTGGATTTTATAGAAAATAAGAGTGATGTCTGTTAAAAAAAAAGTGGACTGTTTTTTTTTCCGCCATTTTCACAATTTCAATCGAAATAAAGCTTCATTTTTTGTAAAATTTCAGGCTAAGTGATTGTAAGAGTGTTGGTTAGAATTTTATGTTCATAATTTGTGATTATCTTGGCGGAATACATATCAATTTTGAGTTTGAAGGCACAGATGCATGAAGAACATGGAAAAACTCTGTTTTTTTTTTTTTCCGCCATGCGATCAAATCCAGTCAATATTTTACAAATCATGTATTAAATTTATAGGGTTTTGATTATTTGTAGTGTTGTTTAATATTAGATATATTCAATTTGAGTTGGATTTTATTGAAAATAAGCGTGATGTATGTTAAAAAAAAAGTGGATTGTTTTTTTTTCCTGCCATTTTTCATGATTTCAATCGAAAGAAAGCTTCTTTTTTTGTAAAATTTTCAGGTTGAGTGATTGTAAGAGTGTTGGTCAGAATTTTGTGTTCATAATGTGTGATTATCTTGGAGGAATACATATCAACTTTGAGTTTGAAGGCATGGAAGCACGAAGAACAGGTAAAAACTCAGTTTTTTTTTTTTTTCCGCCATGCGATCAAATCCAGTCTATATTTTACAAATCATGTATTAATTTTATAGGGTTTTGTTTCTTTGTAGTGTTGTTTATCATTAGATATATTCAATTTGATTATATTTATTCAATTTGAGTTGGATTTTATAGAAAATAAGAGTGATGTCTGTTAAAAAAAAAGTGGACTGTCTTTTTTTTTCCGCCATTATCACGATTTCAATCGAAAGAAAGCTTCATTTTTTGAAAAATTTCAGGTTGAGTGATTGTAAGAGTGTTGGTCAGAATTTTGTGTTCATAATTTATGATTATCTTAGAGGAATACATATTAACTTTGAGTTTGAAGGCACGGATGCACGAAGAACAGGTAAAAACTCAGTTTTTTTTTTTTTTCCGCCATGCGATCAAATTCAGTCTATATTTTACAAATCATGTATTAAATTTATAGGGTTTTGTTTCTTTGTAGTGTTGTTTATCATTAGATATATTCAATTTGATTATATTTATTCAATTTAAGTTGGATTTTATAGAAAATAAGAGTGATGTATGTTTTAAATAAAGTGGACTGTTTTTTTTTTTTTTTTCCACCATTTTCACTATTTCAATCGAAATAAAGCTTAATTTTTTGTAAAATTTCAGGCAAAGTGATTGTAAGAGTGTTAGTCAGAATTTTGTGTTCATAATTTGTTATTATCTTGGAGAAATACATATCAATTTTGAGTTTGAAGGCACAGATGCACGAAGAACAGGTAAAAACTCAGTTTTTTTTTTTTCTTCCGCCATGCGATCAAACCCAGTCAATATTTTACAAATCATGTATTAAATTTATAGGGTTTTGATTCTTTGTAGTGTTGTTTATCATTAGATATATTCAATTTTATTATATTTATTCAATTTGAGTTGGATTTTATAGAAAATAAGAGTGATGTCTGTTAAAAAAAAAGTGGATTGTTTTGTTTTTTTTTTTCCACCATTTTCACAATTTCAGTAAATATTTTACAAAGAATGTGTTAAATTTATAGGGTTGTGATTCGTTATAGTGTTGTTTATCATCTCATGTATTCAATTTTATCTGATTTATTCAATTTGAGATTGATTTTTTAGATTGAATGACTGATGTCTGTGAAGAACTGCGTGTTTTTTTTTCCTCAATTTAATCAATTTTATTTAATATTTTGATAGTAATGTGTTAATATTATAGGGCTTTGATTCCTTATAGTATTGTTTATTAAAACATGCATTAAATTTGATTTAGATTTGAGGTGGATTTTTGAGTTATAATGACTAATGTTAGGTTGGTCTGTGAAGAACTAGGTTTTTTTTTTTTTATTCATGATCAATTTTTTTGAGAAATCATGATTTTTCAAAAAATTATTTTTGATTATCATGAGGAATTAAATAATATTTTTAATTTTTATTGTTAAATTTCTAGTTCAAAAAATTGCATGTTGATAGATTATTTATGCAAAAAAATACATGTTATTATATTTTTAATGCAAAACTGTATTTTTAAATTTGTTGTTAATGCAAAAAAATACATTAACAAATATATGCTATTAAACTGTATTATATTTTTAATTCAGTTTTGCATTAAAAAAGTATTTTTAATTTTTTAAATTTTTAATGCAAAAAATACATGTTGTTAAACTGTATTATCATGAGGAATTAAAGTGAATATCATTGTAAAATATCATGTATGATAATTATATTAGCTTGTAATTATCAATTTTATCATTAAATTTTTAATGCAAAAAATGTATATTCTTGATAATAGTTGTAGGCATGTTTGGAACTTGCTTTTTTTATTATATTATCTTGCATGTTTGTAATTGAGATGTAAGATGTATGAATATTTGACATGTGTGACTTATACAGACTTTTTTTTATCTATAATGTTACATAAATATTTTTTTTTTCTCAGTAGGAACTAATTCATATTTGTCAAAATGATGATTTGTGACAAGTCCATATGTATTGGCATTGTGAATTACTATACTATTGTAAATATATTTTTTATTGATACTATATCAATGTAAATTTATTGTTCTTTATGTAGTAGCTGATGTAGGCTATTTTTATTTGTAATGTTGCATAAATAAATTCTTTTTTCCAATAGAAATTAAAATATTTTTGTCAATATAAGTATTTTGCATTAACTAACAAATATAACTTCATGAACTATCTCTACATATTATCACTGTACATGGTGATTATTTTTCATGTACAATTGTCAGGTTAATTTTTAACCTTTTACATTTTAAAGTTGAACCATGGCAAGATCTGCAGAAGACCCTGCATGGCAACATGGGGTCAGACTTGATCCCAACAAAAAAGACAAAATTATTTGTAATTACTGTCAAAGAGTGATAAGTAGTGGGGTACATAGGTTCAAGCAACACTTGGCAGGGGTTAAGGGAGATGTTTCTGAGTACAATAGTGTCTTTAATAATGTAAGAAAGCAGATGACGACATTTCTCAAGGCTACCAAAGGAAAAAAAAGGGTAAGGCAGAGGATGGATGAGAAGATAGTTAGTTTATATACGCCATAAAGCGGGAATGATCTAGAAGAACAATATAATAATGACTTGGAGATAGCCACAATAATGAGTTTACATGAAACATACTAGAAGGAACGCGGGTT